TATATATATATATATATAAACACACACACACATGCTACCATTCAAAAGTTTGGGGTCAGTATTTTTTTCAGTGAAATTTATGCTTTTTACAGCAAGGATGTAATAATTTGATTAAAAGTGACAGTAAAGACATTTATAATGTTACAAAAGACTTCTATTTCAAATAAAAGCTGTTCTTTTGAACTTTCTATTCATCAAAAATCCTGAAACGTATCATACTGTCAAAAATACTGTTTTCAACATTGATAAAAATAAGATTTTGTTTTTCAGCAGCAAATCAGCATATTAAAATGATTTCTGAAGGATCACGAGACACTGAAGAATGGAGTAATGATGCTGAAAATACAGCTTTGACATCACATGGAATAAATTACACATTTAAATATATTCAAAAAGAAAAATAGCCTTCCAGCAAATCAAAGTTTTGAATGGTATCAGTAAAAAATAAAAATAAATAAATAAGACCTTCGTTCATCTTTGGAACACAAATTTAGATATTTTTGATGGAATCTGAGAGCTCTCAGACCCTCCCATAGACAGCAAGGATACTACAACGATCAACGCACAGAAACATATAAGGACATCAGTAAAATAGTCCATGTGACATCAGGGGTTCAACAGTATTTTTACGAAGGTACAAGCTACTTTTTATGCGCAAAGAAAACAATAATAACATAATTTATTCAGCAATTCTTCTCCCCGAGTTACCATCTTCCGCCATTTTGAGTATCCCAGAACGTAATCAATGTCATCAGCGTTGTTTACGTTCAGCATTTTCATTTTTGGGTGAACTAACCCTTTCAAGTCGTTCCAAATCCGTAAGACCTTCGTTCATCTTCGGAACACAAATTAAGATATTTTTGATGGAATCTGAGAGCTCTCAGACCCTCCCATAGACAGCAAGGATACTACAACGATCAACGCACAGAAACATATAAGGACATCAGTAAAATAGTCCATGTGACATCAGGGGTTCAACAGTATTTTTACGAAGGTACAAGCTACTTTTTATGCGCAAAGAAAACAATAATAACATAATTTATTCAGCAATTCTTCTCCCCGAGTTACCATCTTCCGCCATTTTGAGTATCCCAGAACGTAATCAATGTCATCAGCGTTGTTTACGTTCAGCATTTTCATTTTTGGGTGAACTAACCCTTTCAATTATGGCAGTTGCCATAATAAGTATATATAAGCAAGGTACTTATTCATATATAAACGAGGTATCAACATCTATACTACCCACTTCAAGCACAAAGTAACACATTTGTGATATCATTTGATGAGTCTAAAAACACATAGTAGGCTAAAACAGCACATGCACAAAGAGTGTGACTGTGCAGAAGTAAAGCTTTTCACAAGAGTCCTGTGGAAAAAAACAAAGAGATGAGATGTTCTGTTTGCACAGCTCTACTTTGTCGTTAAGCTTGTGTATAAAGAAATGTTTTATGAAAGCTGAAATCTATGAAATTCTGCACCATGTTGGTCACAGATGTTTCCCTGACATAACTTGCTAGCTAGTTATCTCCTATTGTTGTGTTTTTCACTGGCAAAACCACCTTGTTAAGAAGCACAGCTTGAAGGAAGATGGGGAAAGCGAACAGTACAGTGCTTCTGATTTTCCCAAGCGCTACCTCTGGTTTTGTTCGTTTTTGACAGGGAACAGAAAATTATGTCTCTGTGTATTGTGACTGAATACCAGCTTTGAAGTCTGCTTGACATAAAATACTACATCTGACTAGATTATGTGTATGCGTATGTGTGCCATGTCTTCATTCATTCTGTTGATAATTTAGGTACAGAATGAGGACAAGAATATCGATTACAAAATGAAAACCATTGCTTGACATCCTAAGTTTATATCATAAAACATTCACCCAGCACATCCTCCAAAAGATGCATGCAGTTATATACACTCTTTCTCTCTCTGTGACAAAAACACTCAAAACCTCTGTTATAAAATGATAAGAAACCTATGATAACTTAGCATCAATGTGAGCAAGTGTTTGCTATTGGTGGCTAATATTTGATGGCAAACGTTCAACCAAAATAAGCAAAGTTGTACATCACTGCCCCCTAGTGGTTAAATGACAGACAAAAAAAAAAAAGCTGTGAAAATGAACTAGGTAATTAATAGTTTGATAACCTATCCTCTCAGCTTATAGGAAATGAATGGAGTGACAGTTCACATTTAACAAGTTACATTTATAAATAAAATTGGATACAACCACAAGTGGCATGGCTCCAGATTCACCCCAATTCACCCAAAAATGAACATTTGCCTAAAATGGACTCACTCTCAGGCCATCAAAGATGTAGATGGGTTTGTTTCTACATCAGAACAGATTTGAAGAAATTTAGAAATTACATCACTTTCTCACAAATGGATCCTCTGCAGTGAATGGGTGCCGTCAGTATGAAAGTCCAAACAGCTGATAAAAACATCACAATAATGCACAAGTAATCCACACAACCAATCAATTAATGTCTTATGAAGTGGAAAGCTGTGTGTTTGTAAGAAACAAATTCATCATTAAGGCATTTTAATGCTAAACCATCACTTTTGGCCAAATCCACCAACATATTTGTTTAGAACTGTTTTATGTTTTCGCTTATAAATGGTGCTTGATCTGTGCATATCTCTCTGCTGATTCAGACAAGACAACTTTTTCGCTTGAGAATGCAACATTATGGATAGAGGACTCATATTTTACAATTAAATTATGTCTCAATGATGAATTTGGTTTTTACAAACACAGAGCTTTTCACATCACAAGCCATGAATTGATGGACTGGGGTCGTGTGGAAAGCGCTATACATATAAATTTGACTCGACTTGATATTTAATGTGAAACTCATACCACAAACTAACCTAACAAGCCATTTAATGTTAATAATGATGCACTGCAACTGAAGGATTGGCACATGACATTTGGTTCTCCAGTCTCTTTTAAAAAAGAGCTCTGGCATCAATCAAACACTGGCATACATCTTGAAAGTTTGGTGTATTAAAGTAACTCTTAAATACTTTCTGTCTCTCTAGGGTGCTCCTGGACAAGAAGGAATGGAGGTGAGTGGAACCAGCACTGTTTCTGATCAACATGGTCATGGTCTTCATGGCTCACATTATATTATTGTATGTTACTTTCCTCTGCAGGGACAAAGAGGTTTACCAGGAAAACCGGTAAGATTAAAACATATAAAATCTGTTTGTGTGCTCATCCCTGAGGCCAAGATGTTTCTTGTTTTTTTAGGAAAATGTCTCGCTTTCGCAATTTTCTGAAAGACTAAATTCTTTCCTCTTGGCATAAATATGAACAGCATGTTTGAGTGTTTTGCCTTTTGTGCTATAGTGCTTGCTGACTTAAACACTGACGTCTGGTTGCACTGACATCTGTATGAGGTCTTGAATTAGTTTCTGCCTGGTTCACTGGAATGACTTCTAATGTGTAATATCAGTTTGCTTTTAGTACATGTGTGAGACTAAGATGAGAAACATACTGTATGCGAGTATGTTCTAGCCGTGTTGTTGCTGCCATATGGACCTGTTGTACAAAAAGTCAGCATGAAATGGTGTTCGCAACCATTTTTAATTCTGTAATGTGATTTTATTTCTAAGTAAAACAGGATATAAGAAACATGTAGGGCTGGACTATATTTTTTATCTGTGAAAATTGAAAAGTGCTATTTGTATGTGACTGGAGGGGGTTTTGGTGATGTCCACCAAAAAGGAAAATGTTTTCTTTAAGAAGAAAGCTTTTACATTGAAAAATTGTTGAATTTTGAATAATTTGCGATTATGTATTGTTCACAATAAGACCATCAACATTAAGAAAGTAAGTAGGGTAAATAAAAAAAAACTTTCTTTCTTGGTTTTCTAAATACATCTTACTGATCTTATTGTAAACGATTCATGTGTGCATATGTTTCTTTTTTATATATATATAATTATTTACCTTTAAGTCCATCATTTTAAATT